TCCCACTCTCCTGGTGTCTGGGAGGGACTCCCCCACAAAGCCCACGGAGGTCTCCCCTCCCACAGCTCCTCCCTTCTTCTCCCTGGTGTGGGGAGGTCGGGGGTGGGTCCTGCCTGCCCCTGGTGCTCTCCTGGGCTTTTTCCGGGCTTTCGCGGTGTGCACACACACACACACACACACACACACCCCGGCTGCCACACTGGGCTCCCTGAGGTCTGCCTTTGGCCACGGGAGTCGCCCTGAGTGAGGAGGCCACGCCTTTCAATTCCGCAGTTGCAGCTGAGCTGCTTTTCACATGCCCCCTGCCCCCCAGGAAGCTGGGCCCTGCTGCCCACACCCCCACTTATCTGGGGGTGTCTCTCCTGAGCTTAGAGGTCCTAAAATTCCATTTGGCTGTTCCTGTATGAGCCTCTCCCTGCCTCTCTGTCTCTCCTCTACGTCTGTCTCCACCCCCAGCTCCTCCCCACGGAAGCCATGTGCGGGGGACACACCAAAGTCAGAGCCTGCGATGGGAAGGCTGGGCTGCCTGTGGGGGGAGCCCCAGCCCAGGACGGGGAGCATGGCCGAGCACCCCTGGGACAAATGGCCTGTGGCTGCTCTCCCGCTCCTGAAACTCACGTGCCCTCTCCCCAGCCCCTGCCTGAGGGTGCCCCTTTGGCTAACAGCCATTCCTTCCCATCCTCAGGAGGACACGGGGGTTAGAGGTGCAAGGGCTCCAGAGCTCCAGACAGCCCCCCTCATTCCTGTGCACTGGCCCTTAGGGAGCAGGGAGCGCAGGGCCCGTGGCCTGCTTCCCCCGCTGGCCCTGTCTCAGAAGCTGGCCCTGTCTCAGAAGTGGCTGCAGTGGCCCTGTCCGGCCTCTGGCTTCCTGCCTTTGAGGCTGTGCCACCCCTGCGTGGGGGTCCCTCTGTCATCACTTCTCCAGAGGGGGTGTCCTGCCGGCCCCTGGACAGAGGGCTGGCTCGGGCCTCCTGCCTCTGTCCCCCCTTCCTTAGGGCAGATGCAGAGAACAAGCTGCTGACCTGAGTAGATACACCACCCTGAAAAGTGATGCCACCTGCTGTGTGCACACGCGTGCATGTGCGTGCATGGGTCTGTGTGCATGGGTCTGTGTGCACGTGTGCATGTGCGTGTGCGAGTGTGCAGGGAAGTGACTGTATTTCTTCTGATGCTTCTTCCTTTGGGGGCAGGCTGGAGCCTTAGGATTAGGGCAGAGGAGGAAAGCAGCAGTGGTTTCCTAGAGAGACCCCCCCCCCAGCCCCCTTGAGCCCCGAGGAAGCCTGGTGCCAGCCAGCAGTCATTCCAGGGGGCTTTCTTTGAGGACCCGACAGCGCAGGGGGAGGCCGGAGGCATGAGGAGAGGCGGGCTTGCCCCTGGGTGACTGTGGCTGCAGAGTTCCTTGTACTGCCCTCTGGGTCCGTCCCTCTGTCTGTCTGCCCGCATCTGTATGACATTCATAGCAGGATGGAGGTAACACGACAGGTAGACAAGCTCTGGACCTGACCTTCAGCCTCTGCCCCTAAGGAGCCGCCGACCTACAACCACTCCCCCGCCCCCCGGGCCTCAGTTTCCCCATCTGTAACCTACCTTATAGCTGGGGTTCTCCTGGCTCTGCTCTCCTGTGCCCCGAAGGTCCTCTTCCTGTCTGAGGGGTGTGTGTGAGAGTGTGTGAGAGTGTGTGAGTGTGTGTGAGAGTGTGTGTGTGTGAGTGTGTATATGTGAGTGTGTATGAGTGTGTGTGTGTATGTGAGAATGTGTGTGTGGTGTGTGTGTGAGTGTGTGTGAGAGAGTGTGAGTGTGGTGTGAGTGTGTGAGTGTGAGAGAGT